GCTCAGGGTTTAGAACCTTGAAGGGGCCTAGACTCTCCACTTCAAACCCCTGCAAGGGCAAAGACATGAACGTGCTGCGCGTGGATGGGAGCCTGATGGAGGTCAAGTGCGGGCTCACAAGGCGGGGGGGATGCATTGTTAAAGAGGTCAGGTTCGCCCGTCAGGTTCGCCCCACTTTTTTCAAGCACCGTAGATCGGGTTTAGCACCCGAGAAGCCCGTAACCACCTTGCCGTAAGTGTGAACGGGAGAGTTATAAGAATGTAGGGCATAGGGTCCTGTGTGTTAGGGACTTCATCCATGTCTATCCTATATCCCATCTTATCACCCCAGTTGCACCTACCCATGAACCCAAGACCTGCAGACTGGCCTTTTTTCAATCCACGAGGGTCGCCAGTTTTGAAGCTGTCCAGAAAAGTTGAGGTTTCAGGGCTCTAGGTAAAGCCTAAACCCTAAACCCTAAACCCTAAACCCTAAACCCTAAACCCTAATTGAGTCGGTTGCTCCTTGCCCTGGCATCTCAATTCGTCGCAAGGTTGAAGCGGCAGTAGCAGGGTCCCCCTTGTTGTGTAAGTCATGCCAACAGTTCCCCTACTTTCGGCCCTTCATGTAATATATCTACCCATGAACCTTAAGCCCCCCAACAACGAAAGAAGAGCCTACGCGGGGTCCTAGTAGCCCTAAACCCTAAACCCTAAACCCCGAACCCTAAACCCTAAACCCCCAAACCCCCAACCTCGGGAAGGACCCTGGATGCCCTCAAGATAAAGTCCGGCGGCGAGACGCGCAACCTACGCCTTGGCGATGTGGAGAAGGCCGGGGGGGGTGTAGGGTTTAGGGCTTAGGATTTAGGGTTTAGGGTTCCGGGTTTAGGGTTTAGGGTTTAGGGTTTAGAGCCCCTTCGCTCGTTATAGCCGATGAAGGTTTTTGCTATTAGAAGCTTCTCTCTTCCTGCCACAGGGCCCAAGACAACAACTACGTACAAGCCTAGAACACCATGGCTCAAACTTTAAGCCCAACTAAACACTGCAAGGTAGGTTTCCTACGGCTGATGATATAAATCCTGCATTACCTCAAGGACCCTAAACTATGGGAATTATGGTGTATTCCTTTTTATGGGCAATGCAGGATTTATATGATCAACCGTAGCTTGGGGCTCCGCTTTTGGCTTGATTCAAGGGAGTCATAGTCGGGCCGCTAAGGCCGTACCCCGAAGGGCTTCCCTTAATACACTTCTAACATGGCCCTTACACTACCTTTAGGGTTTAGGGTTTAGGGTTTAGGGTTTAGGGTTTAGGGTTTAGGGTTTAGGGTTTAGGGTTAAGGATCTTTAAGAAGCTTCCCCAAAGCCCCAGGGTACAAGCTTAAGGGTCCAAGGGATACCTGCTGCATTGCAACGCTCGACCTTCGCCCTCTTTAGGGTTTAGGGTTTAGGGTTTAGGGTTTAGGGTTTAGGGTTTAGGGTTTAGGGTTTAGGGTTTAGGGTTTAGGGTTTAGGATCTTTAAGAAGCTTCCCCAAAGCCCCAGGGTACAAGCTTAAGGGTCCAAGGGCTACCTACTGCATTGCAACGCTCGACCTTCGCCCTCTTTAGGGTTTAGGGTTTAGGGTTTAGGGTTTAGGGTGAGCGAAGGTGCTTCACGGCACCCCGGATGAGCTCAACGACCTCGAAACTCCATTAGACGACGCATGTGCCACGCTGCTCTTGCCCGAGGCCTCTTGCCTGGAGCTTGGGTGAACCCTAAACCCTAAACCCTATGGCATGACAAGGTTGGATTTGGGAGGCTCAAGGATGCTCCTGGTTGAGCGCCCTACACCCCTAAACCCTAAACCCTAAACCCTAAACCCGAAACCCTAAACCCTACACCCTAAACCCTAAACCCTTCGTTTCAGTTACACAAAAAGCTAAGTTCCTTGGCAAGAGCCCAGCAGAACTTATATGGTCCTTAAGAAATCGGTCTAGGGAACCTTAGGAACGCTCAGGGAGCCATAGGGAGTAGTGGGGAGTATCAGGGAACCTTGGGTTTAGGGTTTAGGGTTTAGGGTTTAGGGTTTCGGGTACCCTAAACCCGAAACCCAGACCCCATCAAGAATACTGAACTGCGCTTCCGGGGGTTCAATCCTACTTCTCTCGATGTCTGCTATGAGCTCCCGACTCCCCTCAGAGGCTTGGGGGTTCAGAGTTTAGGGTTCAGGGTTTAGGGTTTGGAGCTCAGAGCGCGTGGGTTCAGGCGGGGACTTCCCGCAATCGCCTGAGTCACCGAGGATGGAAGGGTTCGAGTGTGTCGGGGTTGCTAAACCCTAAACCCTAAACCCTGAACCCTGAACCCTGAACCCTAAACCCTAAACCCTAAACCCTAAACCCTAAACCCTAAACCCTAAACCCTAAACCCTAAACCCTAAACCCTAAACCCTAAACCCCAATCACTACTCAAGCATGGAGTCGACCTAGGAGTGCATCTCCTTCAAGTTCGCGGACGCAAAGAAGGCGGAGCTCTTCACTTTGCATCCCGGAGAGATTGCGTAGGGTTTAGGGTTTAGGGTTTAGGGTTTAGGGTTTAGGGTTTAGGGTTTAGGGTTTAGGGTTTAGGGTTTAGGGTTGAGAGTTCAGGGTTCAGGGTTCAGGAGTCGTTCGGGTTTAGGGAGAAAATCAGTAGTCTGTAGGTCGAAGAGCCCACCAGCTCTGAGAGCGCAGCGTAGAAGCTTGGAACCAGCGCAGAAATGCCCCCAATTACACCCTAAACCCTAAACCCTAAACCCTAAACCCCCAAACAACAAGAGCCCTTCCTTCTTAAACCCTGAAGTGCTGTTGTGAGTGGGCAATGCCCTGATCAGCTCGAAGGCATGGAAACCCCTAAACCCTAAACCCTAAACCCTAAACCCTAAACCCTAAACCCTAAACCCTAAACCCTAAACCCACCTTAATTCCAAGAACCTTCGGGGACCGGGCTTTACTGTTTTGCTGCGGCAAGTACCCTAAAGCCTAACCCATGCTTGAAGGATCAGGGGACCCCTAAACCCCAAACTATGCTTATACTTACGTATCCTAAACCCTAAACCCTAAACCCTAAACCCAAAAGGTTCTTACATCCCTACTTACAAGTGCCCCGATACTCCCAAGTACATGGTTTAGGATTTGGTTCCTAGGGGAGTGTAGGTGTAGGGTTCTCTCCACTGGCTTCTCAAAATTCCCTGCGAGAGAAGTGCGTTCAGACAGACCCTAAACCCTAAACCCTAAACCCTAAACCCTAAACCCTAAACCCTAAACCCTAAACCCTCTCATGCAGCTGTCGGGCGCTAAGGTGCATGAACCTCTTCATCGACGGCATCCGCAAGGGCAAGTGAGAAGGCCTCAATTCCTAAGCCACTCCCCTTTGCCCTGAACCCTAAGTCCCAAATAAGCCCTAGCCTTAGGGTTTAGGGGTTAGGGTTTAGGGTTTAGGGTTTAGGTGGTTTAGGGTTCGGGGTTTAGGGTTCAGGGTTAGGGGCGATTCCCTAGCCCTAGCCTCCTGCAGCCTTTTTTCCTAACTCCCCCGTTGCCGCAGCTGCCGAGAAAGGCATCGAGCACCGCGGCACATCTCCGAACGGAGATTCTGAATGTTCTGTTGGAGTAGCCAAGGGATCAAGCCTCGTGCCCCTCAGCTTGGTGATAGTTGGGTATCATTTTACATGTTTAAGGGTACATAAACCCAACAAAGAAGATAAATTTAAATCTTTAGTACGATCCCAACCATGAACTAGTAAGGTTGCACCCCTAAAGGTTCCCCTTAGTGCGCTCCGAATACCCCTAGGAATACTTTGCGGTTCTTTAGTGCAACCTTAGGTGCTTAAACTTTTGAAGGGTGGACTGGCTATGACTGAGGAGTCTACCTTAATTCATAGCAAGAGCTCCATGAACTTTACACTTCAAGGTATTAGGGTTTCGGGTTTAGGGTTTAGCGTTTAGGGTTTGAGCTCTGGGTTCTCAGTGCATGGATGCCCTCCTGTTTAGGAGAAGATCCACCAGGATTCGGTGCTCCACCGTTGTCTCTTGCACAGAGTAAAGCCTACTTTTGAATACAGGAGCGGCAGGCCCATCCACGTTTCTGCTATTCATCTGACTTCTTGAGACTCTTGCCCCTTCTGTACTGGGTTTTGGAGTACGGTACTTTAAAGGTCGTTTTTCCGGTTCTGGGTTCCGATTGCAGCTATTGAAACCTTACTTACAAGTATATACTTCTTCCAGGGTCCAAACTAGGGTGTTTCTCTGAAAACCCCTTGAACCTCGACACTTCAACAGACGGGGGGGATGGGAATAGCCTGGTGTGACTGCCAGAGTGCGAGGAGGAAAAGTGGCTCGACGTGGGGAGTTTGGTCCAAGAGTCCTTGTTGGGGGCTTATGGATCTTCATTAGTGAGGTAGAATGGAATGGACCCTAAACACACTAGCCCTAAACCCTAAACCTTAGTGAGGGCCAGTATGTTTTGGGGCCGTGTCATGGGCTTGCAGCGTCACCACTATTCGACATCACGCCAGGGTGTGAAGATGGAGATGGAGTGGGGCCCAATGTTTTTGTTGCATCAGCATTTCGGGACTTGGGTCTTCGGGCGCCTGGAAACCCCAAACCCCAAACCTGAGCGCAAGCCGTAAACCAATTACTGAAGGGAGACTTTGGGGTCGTCTGGCACTAACTTCGGGGCAGTGACGCCGTGCTGGAGGGGCGAGGGAAGCGCTTGAAGGGAGGGGGTAGGGGCTTACCCACCGGCTGGATTTCTGACTTGGGCTTGCGCAAGGCGTTAGCATGGCTGGACGGGCGTCAGGAAAAACCCTAAACCCAAATCCTTCCCCATTATTTGCTTAAGAACCTCAAAAGGAAGTAAAGAATAGTAGTCCCTATGTTGCCCCTATAGGGTGATTCTTTGGGTGGTTCTTCGGAAAGCAGTCCAACCCTAAACCCTAAACCCTAAACCCTAAACCCTAAACCCTAAACCCTAAACCCTAAACCCTAAACCCTCCGCGGCTAAGGAAGTATCGAGGCAACCTCCTTCGTCAACCCGAAGCTCGTACCACAGATGGCCGCTCAGCTACATCCTCTAATCCGCTTTAGAGCCCAAATCCCCGAAGCCTAATTCGGGTTTAAACCCTAAACCCTAAATCCTAAACCCTAAAACCCTAAACCCTAAACCCCTAAACCCTAGCGTCAGGGTTTAGGGTTTAGGGGTTAGGGTTTGGGGTTAGGGGATATCTTCTTGTAAACGGGAATACTAGTAGGGGTCTATTTTAGGGGTCCCGTATTTTCGTAGACCCCCAAATCCCCTAAAGTTAGGATCTTCGCCCTTATACTAACAGTCCTTAATGGGGATGATAGGCCCAAACCTGCAATGTCCGAAGCCTTGCCTGCTTCAGCGAGTGCGAGAGTTTAAATGCCTCAATCCCCTAAACCCTAGTCCTCTAATCCCCAAAATTCCTAGTCCCCTAAACCAGTGGCCCCTAAACCCTTTGAGCATCAACCTAAACCCCGAACCCCAAACCCCGAACCCTAAACCCTAAACCCTAAAGGCAGAGAGCGCGTGCCAAAACCCGAAACCCTAAACCCTAAACCCTAAACCTTTCTAGTTCCCAACGCAAGTTGGGCCGGGGCGCTGAGGCAGATGCCACCGAAGTTCTCAAGTCCTGCCGGGGGCCTCTGGATGCACGGGCGTTTGGGGCTGAGGGTTTAGGGTTGAGGGTTGAGGGTTTAGGGCTTACGTTTTCCCCTTGAAACAACAACAAAAGGGTTTAGGATTTAACCAGGGTAAGTTTAAGGATTGCTTTGTTCACAGCTCTCCGGGCCCCTATAAGCTCTATACAACCCATAGCCCTAACGTCGCAGAAGCCTCCAAGAACCTTTAGTTTTTGGGCTTTGTTCCTTTGAGTCGCAACGCGCCTCCCTCGTGCGAGACAATGCCCTACTTGGAGGTCCGCGGTACTTACAACCCATTATAGGTGTACTGATAACCCACTTCTTACTTACCCTAATATGGTTATAAGTGTGTATTGGGTTACTAAGTACCATGAACCTCCAAGTACAACCCTAAACCCTAAACCGTAAACCCCAAACTTCTTGGCTGGGAAGGCTCTGCGCTGACAGCGGGGCGGCCACCCCCTACTTAAGGGTTCACAGGACTTAGTAAGTGGCGTTATAAGTAAGGCAACTTTACTTATCACTACTTATAACCCCAAGTAAGGTATACTTGCAATTAAGGTATACTTCTAACTACTTTATAACCCCAATTAAGGTACACTTATAACTACTTTATAACCCCAAGTAAGGTATACTTATAACTACTTATAACCCCAAGTAAGGTACACTTATGACTACTTATAACCCCAAGTAAGGTATACTTATAACTACTTATAACCCCAATCAAGGTATACTTATATCTCTACTTACTGAGTGCCCCGATCCTCCAAGCATCAGACAAGGTGCTGTTAGCAAGAGTCGGGTTTCCTGGGGGCTAAGGCCGGTTAGGGTTGAGGGTTTAGGGGTTTAGGGTTTAGGGTTTGGGGTTTAGGGTTTAGGGTTTGGGGTTTAGGGTTTGGGGTTTGCAAAACCCATGTCATTGCGGCCCATGTGCCGACTGGCCGAGCGTTGTGGCTTTAGACAAGAAGGTTTCGGGATGTCCAGGCATCCAAGATTCCTTATTGGAAGTAAGAGTTGCAATACTTCAATCATAGTAAGTATACGTAATAATAGCAATCTGGTAAGATAAAATAAAAGTAAGAATCGTACTAATAGTTAGTGCTTCTAGTGCTGGCTCGGTGGGCTTTCAAGCTTTGCTTTCAGATCGTTTCGGTTGAACCAGCACTGTCTCCCAATGCTACTCACCTCAGTTCCCCCCCCCCCCCCCCCCCCCCCCCCCCCCCGGCCGCCTCCCCCGGTTCACCTCCCGTCCGCACAGTTTTGGACACAAAGAAGCAACAAATTACGACGCCCAAAGTCAGTGACTCACGGTGGCATCTCAGCAAGCAGATGCTGAGACTGCTAAGAGACTGCAAACCCTAAAACCCTAAACCCCTGGGGGGTGGTCCCGATGATGTGCTGGTTCACAGTGCAGGCGCGCTCAGTTGCTCAGACTCAGAGACAGCGCCGAGTAAACCCGAAACCCCTATAAGCGTTTTCCCTTTGTCGGGCAGTCCAGCCGTGAGCCCTCCCCTGGCCTGTGTGCTCGGGACTTGTGGCACCTTTGGTCCACTGCTGCTCTCGCACACACACACACACACTCACTCTCTCTCTCTCTCTCTCTCTCTCTCTCTCTCTCCCTAAGGGTCCATGTACCTCAGTATTATATACTTGGGCCCCAAAGTCCCTACATAGGAGGTACTTTATGCAAGGCCCAAGTACTCCCTATTTAAGTACATGGACCCTCCTCTCCCAATTTAACATTTACTTGTACGCAATATGACATCTGAGCGTGCGCCCTGGTAGCACGACGGCCCAGACAGCACACATCGCGAACCCTTTGAACATGTCTACCTTTAGTCCGTGGTTACACCCCGGTCAAGGCACAGAAGAATTTCTCATAACCCGACTTGGAAACTCTAGAAACGTCAAATGCAGGCGGCAGGAGCCCTGGCCCGAACGCGGCCTCACAAATCTCCTAGGATTCAGGGTTGAATTTAAATCCCGAACCCCAAACCCCAAACCCCGAACCCCGAACCCCAAACCCCGAACCCCGAACCCCGAACCCCAAACCCCGAACCCCAAACCCCAAACCCTAAACCCTGAGGCGTCACTGAGCTACCAGACGTGCGCTTCCCTGTGCTCGTGCCCAACCTACGGGGCCTGGAGGCCGCAGCTTCAGGGTTTTTTTTTTTTGCATCCTTGGGATCATTGCTAGTTTCTGGGCACCTTTGGCGCAAGTTAGTGTTTCGGATTTAGGGTTTGGGGAGTAGGTTTAGGGAATATACACATGTATGTATATATCTATATATATATATATATTGCTTTATATATATATATATACACAGACATGTCTCTCTCTCTCTCTCTCCCCTCATGTTATCCTGGGCGGCGTTGCAACAGCTCCAAATTAAAGAAAGCAAAAACGCCCATAGTTTAGAGACCTGCCCATAGTATAGGCTTTAGGGATTCAAGATTCAGTGGGTCCATGTCGCCGATTTTCTTGTCGGGGTCAGGGCTTACAGGGGGCGATGGGTTGGGGATGGTTGGGGCGTGGGCTTCGGTTTTTTGGGTTTAGGGGCTTAGTGTTTAGGGCTTAGTGGTGCAGGAATGCCGTGACGAGTTTGACCCACGTTGTGGCGCTTTAATCCGGACAAGCTTCCTTTCAGACTTTACTTTCTGGTCTTCGCTTCCCTTACAGACACGAGTTCTCTGTGGGAGGCGCGGGCTCCGCACTAACGCGTCTTCTATATCTTTCTTGGGAATTATTTGTTTTGTTTATGATATAATTAAAACCCACGAGGATATTGAAACTAGAATTTGTTTAAGGTTCTAAGGGGAGAGTCGTATTGTGCTGCTTCTTGTTTACCTAGATAGGCCCACTTGTCCCGAATCTCTTGTAGCGTCGCCCACGGTCCAAAAAAGGGTTTTAGTGCTTCGGGCTCATGGGGGAGGAGGTCTTTCGGTTCAACCTGTATTGCCCCCAAAAGGTCTCCTGCTGCCTCCTACAGTGTCACCCTAAACCTGAGAGCAGTTTTCTGGATCATGTCTTCTTTCCCTGCAAAGGGTTTAGGGTTTAGGGTTTAGGGTTTAGGGTTTAGGGTTTAGAGTCCGGATGCAAAAAAGGGTTTAGGGCTTAGGGTTTAGGGTTTGCCAATCCTAAGCGCCCAGCCCATGCCAAAAGGCTGCCCTGGCTGCGGGAACGAAGGAGGTGGCTTCCTTGTAGTTTCGGGTCTAGGGTTTAGGGTTAAGGGTTTAGGATTTTCAGGATTTAGGGTTTAGGGTTTAGGGTTTAGGGTTTAGGGTTTAGGGTTTAGGGTTTAGGGTTTAGGGTTTAGGGTTTAGGGCTTTGTTTGAGTGCAGCACAAGAACCCCCAACCCCACAACCCGAACCCGAAATCCCATAACCCGAACCCCTAAAACCCTCACCTGCTGCGTGCGAGTGCGAGACCCGAAGACCCTAAACCTTATCGCCCCAAGCCTTACAACACTGTAACCCTACATTCTTTTACCCGCGACCCTAAACCCAACAGAAACTCTGCACCTTAATGCCTCAAGGAATTCCAGGGACAGAGCCGAGTAAAGGTCTCAGGCTTTAGCGCAGCTTGGAATTGTAGAGTTTAGGGTTTAGGGTTTACGGTTTACGGCTTAGGGTTTAGGGTTTATAGGGTTCGGGGTGTCCTCTGAAACTCCAGGGCTTTGTCCCAAACCCCAAGGCACCACGTGGAGGACGTACTAGCTTTCTAAGGAGCAGGGTTAAGAATTAGAAGTAACCCTAAACCCTTAAACCTTAAACATAAACCCTTACGATCGAAGGACCGAGTACTTCGTACGTAGCATTCTACAAGGGCTTTTTATGAAGTAGAAAGAGCTCTACATCCTAAACCCTGAAGCCCCCCAAAAACCCTAAATCCGCCATTCAGGGTCCCTTTTCGGGCACTTGTAACAATGTAACTCTGCCCTGTACCTGCTTACTGAGCCCCCCCTCCCCCCCCCGACCTTCGAAGTCTTAGCCTGCCCAGTCCCTGAAGGTGAGGGTTTAGGGTTTAGGGTTTAGGGTTTAGGGTTTAGGATTTAGGGTTTAGGGTTTAGGGATTAGGGTTTAGGGATTAGGGTTTAGGGTTTACGGTGTCATGTGTTGCACCCGGAACCTTAGGCCCTCGACATTCCAGCCCTACTTTGAGTTCATATTGAAGAAGGGTTGTAAGTGGGGCAGCCGCAGCTATATGCCTAAGAAACACTACTTAGAACTAACCTGCATTAAGCCCCTAAACCCCTAAAGCCCTAAGCCCCTAAGCCCCTAAAACCCTAAACCCCTAAACCCCTAAACCCCTAAACCCCTAAGCCCCTAAACCCCTAAACCCCTAAACCCCTAAACCCCTAAGCCCCTAAACCCCTAAACCCCTAAACCTCTAAGCCCCTAAACCCCTAAACCCCTTCAACCTGATGACTGCCGAAGTCGCGTCTGGCTCTGCAGGTGACCCTTCTAGCAGCGGCTAGCGACACCTTCGCCCAGAAGAACACGCGGAATGGCTGAAGAAGGGGTTTATAGGTTTAGGGGGTTTAGGGGGTTTAGAGGGTTTAGGGGGTTTAGGGGGTTTAGGGGGTTTGGGGTGTTGAGGCAGAGCAAATGGCCCAGGGTTTGGGGCTGGCGTTTAATCCTATAAACGGGTCCTGCACACCCTTGCATCTTGTGGCTGTAGCCAACTCACGTCTTAACCGTCCTAGCCCTTTCCCCTAAATCGCCTAAACCCCTAAGACCCAAACCCTTTAATGTTGAAGCACTTGGGGCGCTCATTAAGGAAGTGCCTAATAATCCCTACGAGGTCGCTTTAGGCAACCCATGCACCCTCTGGTAAAGCCTCACACACCCGAAACCCTAACCCGGAACCCTCAACCCTAAACCCTAAACCCTAAACTTAGGCCCTGAAACCCTACACCCGAAATTCAAGGAATTGCACCGTCGAGGAAAACTTGGAGAGGGCCAAGGCCTGTTCCGATGGCCTTGGTGTTGCTGCTTAAGGTTGACCTGGGACTCTCTTGATCTACAGTTTTATGGGTTTGCATCCCAGCTAAGGGGTGGTTACTACTAAACTGCAGGTAAATAGCGCCTCAGGTAGTGTTCAAAGGTCTAGGAATGCATATAGCTAACTTAAAGTAAACTACCCTGCCTAGAGTACGTAGTATGGTGTCTTATGCACTTCCTCGACGGCTCTTCGAAATTACCCTACACCCTGAGCCCTGAAAGGGGATGGTTCGGGGCGACATGTTTCGAGACTCAAGCGCTGGAAGGGCTTCGAGGCATCTCAGCGGTTTGGTTGGCGCTTTAGATGGCTTTAACTGGTTCTACAAGTAGAGTTGAAAACCTTAAGCCTTATAAGGCCTAAAAGGAAGAGGGCCACTGTTTTTTGGGACCTTTCTGGGTAACCTAGGTGTTGCCGTCCAGGATTAGGGTTTGGGGTTTCTTAAGGGTAGTTTCATTGTCCCTAATATGGGCCCGTAAATGGGGAACCCTTGTATACGCCCTCGCTTCAGAACCCTGTAAAGAAGGTAAGGGACTTTTTTCAGGGACCCTAAACCCTAAAGCCTAAACCCTAAACCCTACAGCACCTTCCTCAGATTTAGGCAAATTGAGGGTGAGTCTTGCTCCAAGGAAGGTCCGGGTCTCAGGGGCTTCGTGGTTTCGAGGTTGTTCGGTCAGAAGGCGCGGCTCCCGGGCACGAGGAGGCCTAGGGTTTAGGGTTTAGGGTTTGGGGTTTCAGATTATGGCTCGTTTTCTGCTGGCAGTCATCAAGTCCGGTTTCAAAAGGGTTTGGGGTTTCGGGTTTCGGGTTTCGGGTTTGGGGTTTAGGGTTTGGGGTTTAGGGTTTGGGGTTTAGGGTTTGGGGTTTAGGGTTTAGGGCATGGGGTTTAGGGGATCCCCATGGTAGGCCCCCGAAAGAAAAAAAGGGCGCTAGAGAAGCGTCAAGTTCGACCTGCTCCGCAAGCATGGTATCTTTGCAAAGGCCCTTCAACGACAATCAGCTTGGAAAGGAGGGTTGGGTGTAGGGATTCATCTCTATGTTTGGTAAGCTGTATAGCCTACTAAACCCTAAACCCTGAACCCTGAACCCTAAACCCTAAGCAAAATTGCTGCGTCCTCTGACCCAAACGTGCCGGAACTTTAGCATTAAAATGTTGAGGATCTCTGTGCTGAGGTGACCCTAAACCCTAAACCCTAACCCTAAACCCTAAACCCTAAACCCAGGTGTTGGGGGCCCCTGAACTAGTGTGCTTTCGCAACGGAGCCTACAGTCCATATAGCTCTTGGGAGCGATCTGTACTGCAGCTTAGACATGCTCCACAAGGATGCTCAGTAGTACCCGTATTCCCTGTTTGGGGGGTGTAGGTTCCCTTATTAACCCCTTTATGAACAAAGGGCAGACTTTTTTTAATCCTAGGTTACTGGACAACCTAGTCTTTTGGGTTCGGCGTTGCGTCAAAGGGTTGAAAACTCTCCGACTTTGGAGCTGCTACTCGAGAATATCATTCCCGAACCCCCTAAATTCCTACCATTTTTAGTCCTTTTTAGTGGTCCTTACTATGATTTCCTTGTATATATATATATATTCCCTTAAGAAGTCAGGTTTTGTGTGTTTTTTTGGTGCTTAAGGTTGAGGGATGATGGCAGGCCGTGATGCAACGAGCGAAAGAGGCGAGCTGCACAGTGCGTGCGGCCATTTCCGTGTGCGGCAGCCCCAGATCGGAAAGGAAGCCACACCCTATAGACCCTAAACCCTAAACCCCAAGCCCACCCGGCCCTAAACCCTTCAAAGGGAAGCTTCATGGGCCCTTTGGTCTGGTCCCTAGCCTCCTTTAAGGTGTTCTGATGTGTGAGCCCCTTAGTTTGTATAGGGGATACAAGGGCTATGTAAGGGGTACCCGTTTAAGGGCCCATGCTATGGGACCATGTAGCTACCCTAGGCCCTTAGAACCTTAGACCCTACATGTTTTTAAGCCGCTCACGATGGAATCCCTGCTGAGTGGTTCGTCCAGCTATGCAGGTGCCAAAAAACCCTGGAGCCTAAAAAAGCCAACCCTAAACCCAACCCCCCCCCCTCCCCCCCCCCCTTTCATACCCCAAGTCTGTGAAGTGCGAGAACCTCGAACCTTCGGCCTGTTCGTGGCCTCTTTTCGGGGGCCCTCATCACTCAGAAATACAGGGATCCTCAGGGATCTTACCCTAAACCCTAAACCCTAAACCCTAAACCCTAAACCCTCAACCCTAAAACCCTAAAACCCTAAAACCCTAAACCCCAAAACCCTAAACCCTAAACCCTCATAAGCAGCGGCCTGTTCATCTTCAAGCTTCCAGGGAAGCACACCTTTCGAGGCATCACTCCCCTCAGAATCTTAGAGGGAGTTGGGGATGGAGCCGAAATTCTGCACCCCTGAACCCGCTGAAAACCGGGCCTAACGCCCCCAAACCCTAAACATAACCCTAAACCCTAAACCCTATAGCCCCTCACCCCTAACCCCTAACCCCTAAACCCTAAACCCTAAACCCTAAACCCTGGCCCTAAACCCTGAACTTCTCAGTTGAGAGACCCAGGTTTGGGCTGCCCCTATGAGGGCACGGTGCCTCCCAAGCGAGTAGCTCAGGTGGGCAGCACGTGTGTGAGCGATTGCAACGGCTCTGGTTCTGCTGTGCGGGGTTGAGGGTTTAGGGTTTAGGGTTTAGGGTTTAGGGTTTAGGGTTTAGGGTTTAGGGTTTAGGGAGAACCCTCCCCATACTTCAACCCTTAAGGGGGGGAGGGGCGGGAAGGGGTGCCACCTTGGGAGTGACAGGTCAGTAGTTTGCCAGGGGTGAGGGCCGGTGAGGGTAGGTGGGAGGGGGAGGGAGGTAAGCCTAGCCCCCAAAACCAAGCCCAACAGCCGCAAGCACGAGCCAACCCGCAATCCCGAAAAGGCTCTGTCCAATCCACCAGGGTTGTGACTTGAAAAGAGTGTAGGGTTTAGGTGGCGGCTTTCAATACATGTAAGGATGGTGCCTTCAGGGTCTTTGTTTGACGTTGTGAAAAGATAAGCACCCACCAGCCGCGGTGGTGACCACCCAAAGCATCATCTGTTTTGGTTTAGGGCTGCGCCCTTTCAACTCCCCCACGTACCTTCATAACAGCTTCCAGAATTTCAGGGGAGGCTCCAGCAGTTAAGCAGGGTGTCTTCCGCAACCCCTTCGGGTTTAGAAGGTCACTGAAAGTTCCAATTCCAAACGCGCAAAGACTGAATGCCCTGAGGGATAGGGTTCAGGGTTTAGGGTTCAGGGTTTAGGGTTTGGGGTTTAGTTCGTCCCAAGCAGGCAGTGCAGCAGTCCGAGCGGTACCAAAGGGAAGAGGGTTTAGGGTTGAGGGTTTAGGGTTTAGGGTTTAGGGGTTCTCCTCAGCACCCCTTAAGCCAACCCCTAGCCCTTGTCTGTCTGCACTGCAGGTGGCCGCGCGCCTCTTCGAGGCAATCGGGGCTCATGGTCTGTGTACGACTGAGGAACGTGTTGGAGGCAATGTAACACAACTCCTCTACTAGGTACCCTAAACCCTTAACCCTAAACCCTAAACCCTAGACCCTAAACCCTGAACCCTAAACCCTAAACCCTAAACCCTAAACCGGAAGCTCGTCTTTGCTAGCATCGGCCCGAAGCTCGATTACCGGCCGCGGGAGTGGGAGCATGCGGTGCCGGGGTTCTGAAGTATGGGCCCTTGGGCGATAGGCGTAACTCCCCTTACATACAGGTTATCCTAAACCCTAAACCCTAAACCCTAACCCCTAAACCCTACTTACAAACCCTAAATCGCCTTTGGATTTGCCAGGGCGGCTGTGAGGAGCTCCTGATTTGTGACACGACTGGCGTGGGGACGGCCGGTGGAGTGTGCCCCTTGCTGCAGTGTGCCGGGTTTCAGGTTCGCAGGTAGGTTTTCAGGTAGCCCTAAACCCTACAAAAACCCTAAACCCTAAACCCTAAACCCTAAACCCTAAACCCTAAACCCTAAACCCTAAACCCTAAACCCTAAACCCTAAACCCTAAACCCTAAACCCTAAACCCTAAACCCTAAACCCTAAACTCTAACTTAACCCCGAAACCGCCCGAAACTTTAAACCCTAAACAACCCAGGTCATCGGTAGGGCGACCGAAGAACCTCAAAGTAGTGGTCCGATGTCCTCCTGGATCCTTCCTAGGGACGGTGGGTGGCAGGTTGAGTCTTACTGCCTCCTGAAGCAAAAAGAGAACAGGGAGACCGAAAATCCTAAACCCTGAAACTGCTCAAGGCGACCCAAACCAAACTTATTAATTATCGCTGTACAACAAGAGCCTCTGAGATAGGACCCTATTTTCATATAGGCCCTATCTAAATGGCATTGGGTCCCAAGGCCATTGAACCTTGGAGCCGTAAACCCTCCTTCTTTGGGCCAAAGCTCTGCCTTTTTCTGCGCATTCGCTGAAAGCTCTAACCCTAAACCCTAAACCATCAGCTCATCTATTTACCCCAAAGAGGTCCCAACTCTCCCTAAGAGCCTAAACCCTGAACTGCAAGTAATCCAAATGCGCATATCCCAAAAGAGGGTGGCCCCCCTATACCCAAAATGCCGGAATCCCAACAAAAGGCATCCTAAACCCCCAAAACTCAACCCTAAACCCCTATTTTTGGCTAAACCCCAAACCCTGAACCCTGAACCCTAAACCCTAACCCTAAGCCCTAAACCCTGAACCCTGAATCCTAAACCTTCGTTCGCACCGAAGCCTGAGGCTTTTGCCTTTAGCTTGGCAACCAGATTCCAGAACCCTTGGGCCTCATCATAAAATTCAGCCTCTGAACCAGGAGTTCAGGGTTTAGGAGGGTTAGGGTTTGGGGTTTAGGGTTTGGGGTTTAGGGTGTGCCAAACCAGGCGGGAGGACAGGCGAGCTCGCTGCAAAGGGTTCAAGGTTTAGGGTTTAGGGCTTGGGGTTTAGGGTTTAGGGTTTAGGGCTTGGGGTTTGGGCATCATGCAAGTAATCCCCCCCCCCCCCAGGAACTGTCCGCTGTGAAGCGCATCGTGAACCCTAAACCCCAAACCCTAAACCCTAAACCCTAAACCCTAAACCGACCATCCCTCTCATTTCAGGCGCCGCGTGCTCGAGGAAGTCCTAGGCGCAAGGGGAATTGGTTGAGTCCTGGGGGCTTAGGGTTTACATAGGTTTTAGGGTTTACAGGGCGGTTTAAAGGGTTTATGGTGTTTTATAGGGTTTTATAGTGTTTATAACGGTTTACAGGGTGTTACAGGGTTTAGAGGCTTTATAAGGTTTTCAGGGTTTATAGGGTATACAGGGTTTATAGGGGTTATAGGGTTTTTCAGGCTGACCCCAAATTGCTGCGAGAGAGGCTCCCCCGAAGGAGGGTTGTTGCGCATGACTGAGAGAGTAAGCTGTCCTTGCTAGCCCGGTGGTACTTTTTTTTTTTTTTTTGCCCTTTTTGGGTTCAAGGATCCCTTGATAAGGGTTTAGGGTTTATAAAAGGGTTTAGGTTTTAGATGTACCCCAGAAACGGTGCCCCTCATTAAGAAAATTGCTGCATTGCGCGTCTAAGGCCGCCACCTGTCGACAAGTAACGATGGATGTTGCCGCTTCAGGCTCCATTCTGCGGATGAGCGACGAAGTACGTATATCCCCCTTGGGAATGATTTTTTGTTTTGTTTTTTATATAAACCCTAAACCCTAAACCCTAAACCCTAAACCTAAACCCTAAACCCAAGAGGAGATTAAACATATTGTTTTTATTAAGGTTCTAAGGGGAGTATAGGTACAGGAGCAAACGCGGCGGGACTACTGCCCAAAACCCTTCGAGTTTTGGCAGCGACTTCTGGCCAAGCGTTTTCCTTTCGAAGCATAGTCTTGGAGCAAGGCTAGCTTGGAGTAAGCCAAACATCTGATGGTGAATATGATGACAGCTCATGAACCCATAGAAGCCGCAAAGGCTTTTCATATCAGACGCTGCCGATGATTTAGAGCGTTTAATGGATTGAGGTGGTTGGAAGGCCCTGGCAAAATCTTAAGAAGAAAGTTCTTCGGCGAGACACAGTCATGCCCGAAACCAACCATCAGGAAAGAAACCATAATTTGCAAGAAGCTCGATCAACAAACTGCCAGCCAAGGAGGTTGTTCCCCCTGAGGCCTCGCGCAAATCTTTCTCACTTCCTGTCACTTAGGGTTTAGGTTTAGGGTTTAGGGTTTAGCTTACCAAGTTGGCAAAATCTTCAGCAGCTGCCTGAGACATTGGCTGTCTGCATGTGGGAACCGGGGGCTGGAGATGTGCGAAAGGCCGAGACATACGCGCCGAAGGCAGCCAAAGAGGATCTCAGGCCGTAAGGTAGTTTAGGGTTTAGGGTTTAGGGTTTAGGGTTTAGGGTACATCCGCCGGACCTTCCTTCTCCGCATCTCCGACCAGCACAGAATGTCCCAGTAGGTGACAAGTACTGGTAACATGTGGGGAGGTCGCTTGCGACTCAACCGCCTGAGGGGGTTTAGGGTTTAGGGCTTACAAGTTCAGACTACAGTCTGCTAAAACCATGCAGAGACGAGCTCTTCAAAAGGTGCCCTTATCATGAGATGGTTACTGGGCTGCCAAGTTTATACCCCTAAGAAAGAGACATGTGCCTTGATGTCGGATATTCGGGGAGTTAACCCTCAACCCTACACCCTACACCCTAAACCCTAAACCCTAAACCCTAAACCCTAAACCCTAAACCCTAAACCCTAAACCCTAAACCCTAAACCCTAAACCCTAACCCTAAACTGGGCGGTCTAGAGCCCGAAGTTCTTCATGCAGAAGTGAATCCTTCCAGGTGCTGGCGTGCCTTTGGACCAAGTAGGGGTACATTTCCACGACACCTATGGCCAGGCCCGGCATTTGCCCCCCCGGTTTAGGGTTTAGGGTTCAGGGTTCAGGGTTTAGGGTTTATGGTTTAGGGTCTCAGGTTTTGTGAGCTATTGTTGATGTGCTGAATTCTTGGACTAGGGCTTCGAACTGTTCAGGACGAAGATGCCAAGACATGCCAAGCATTTGTGACGGGTGGTCGCGTACTGTAGGGCATAGGAACCCCAAACCCTAGGCCCCAACGCCACGTGCTTTTGAAACTTGGGTTGAAGAGGTTTAGGGTTTAGGGTTTAGGGTTTAGGATTGCCAGGGGCTTTCTTTTCGGAAGCATCTGGACAGCCTCCATGCCCGCAAATTCAACCAAAAGGCTTCCTCTTGCCAACAACGCCCGAAAGCCTCTGAAAACCCTTATAAGCCCAAAACCCTCAGTGAGTGCTCCTTGCTAGACTGCAGCCCTATATATACCCCTCCAGCCATGCTTTTCCTCCGCTAAACTCGAAACCCTAAATCCTATAAACCCTAAACCCTGAACACTAAACCCTAAACCCTAAACCCCAAACCCTAAACCCTATTTCAGAAACCCTACGCCCACCACCACACACCTGGCAGGCGGTTGCCAACACTCTGGCAGCACCAGCCTCAGCCCCTCACAACTGGGAGTTCGTCGAAGGCATGGGCACTTCGTGACACCTTCAAAGGGCTTCGGGCTTAGGGTTAGGGTTTAGGATCTAGGCAAGGGGTCCTTTCCGAACTGAGCAGACCCCCAAACAAATTTGGGTCTACTTGAGGTTCATGTGGAGGGTGTGGGTTGAGCATGAGGTCATGCGGCAAAATGAAGTGAGAGTTCGGAATCATGCGATGTGCCTACACTAGAGTCTTGGTACATGAAAACTGGTCTGAGGATGACGTGCAGATGACACATACGTCGTTTCACCGTGCTCAATTTGGGGGTTTCCCCGTCGGGGTTTTTGCACTATGGACCCTAGATGCAGGGTAGCTCAGAGTGTGTAGCCCAAAGAGGGTCCCAATTTTGAGAAATCCACCGTACACGGAAACCATCAACTCTACACCTCTAAACCCTAAACCCTAAACCCAAACCCTAAAAACTTAAACCCCATGAGGCTGTGCAGTTTGGGGTTCGCCGTGTCGACGCCGCTGCTGGCGGCGTGGGAGGTTGTCCTTTTGCGGGACCAGGCCATGCCGTTTAGGGTTTAGGGTTTTAGGGTTTAGGGTTTAGGGTTTAGGGTTTAGGGTTTAGGGTTTAGGGTTTAGGGTTTAGGGCAGGGGGATCTGGGAGTGATCTTCCACGGGGTAGCTAGGATGGAAGGTCTTGCATGTCGTGTCGGCAGGTTTCTTCTTCTGGCTTATGCCAGGCCCTTGAGAGAGCCCTGGTCTGGTGAAGAAATGTCGCTTGCAGAAGCGTTGGTTCGGGTCAGCTTCGGGTGCTACTACATGGTCCTGAAGCTCCATCATCATCGGTTCAAACAGCGGCCGCAGAAAACTCGAAGGCAACATGCTTGCAACCCTAAACCCTCGATCAACCCTGGAACCCTAAACCTTCTCAACATGCCCTGAACTCCGTAAACTCCCTAAACTCCTTAAACTCCCAAAACTCCCTAACCTCCCTAATTGCAAAGGGTGCCTAGAGATCGCCTCCTTCTGTGAGCCGCCCGACCCAACGCTCGAAACTCTGCAAGCCTCAAGACGCGGCAAGCACCAAGATGGTGCTTCGGCTAAAGCCTTCTGGATATTTCCCCAAAAAGGGGTGCCCTTACTATACCCAGTATAATCCTTATTATAGGAACCCCAAAAGGGTACCCCTTTTTTCGGAAACTCCCTTATTGGGCTGGGGATTCAAGGGCTTAGTATTCCGGAAGCACCCTAAACTCTAAACCCTCAACCCTAAACCCTAAACCCGAAACCTAAACCCCTAAACCCTTAAACCCTAAACCCTTAAACCGTAAACCCCTAAACCCTAAAACCCTAAAAACCTCAACGCGATCAAGCCAGGAGCCAGTGGCAACGTCGCCACGGAGGATGTGCTGAGACTGCTCGAGGGGCTTGGAGCATCGGACTTGGAACCCAGAGGGTCCCATTTGTAATACTATTATGGCATTAGGTACCCAAAATCCATACCAAATACGGTTTTGGAGTACCTAATTCCAGAACAGTACCTCTGGGGAACAGAGAGTTTTCAATTGCAAGCTTAATCCCTGGAGATGTCCTTCCCTTATGTAGGCTCCCTCGTTCTCGTTCTCGTTCTCTCCCTCTCCCTCTCCTTTGTTTTTTTTGGTCCCGAAGCGCCTCGCCCTCCGCTCTCACTTTGTTTGAGTCTCCTTCCCCAGCTCACAACGACAAGAAAGCCCAAACCCTAAACCCTAAACCCTAAACCCTAAACCCTAAACCCTAAACCCTAAACCCTAAACCCTAAACCCTACACCGCAGCACCTCTCAGGTCCAGACGGGAATCCAGGCGCTGCCGCTGGCCGAGACGGGGCAGTGGCTGACATCCCACGTCCTTGGCAAGGCGAACGGCGCCAAGGCCCTTTTTATTGGGTTTGGGGTTCAGGGTTCAGGGTTCAGGGTTCAGGGTTTAGGGTTTAGGGTTTAGGGTTTAGGGTTTAGGGTTTAGGGTTTAGGGTTTAGGGTTTAGGGTTTAGGGTTTCGGGTTTCGGGTTTAGGGTTTAGGGTTTAGGGTTTAGGGACTGTCGGGTGCAGGCTGCGGGGCTGTCCCTGAAAAACCTTCTAACCCTACCCCCTACACCCTGAACTCCCTAAACCCTCAACCCTAAATTCCCAAAGTTCCCTAAACCCTGAACCCTAAACCCTGAACCCTAAACCCTAAACCCTGAACCCTAAAGTCCCTATACCCGAAACCCCCTACATCCTGAAGTCGCTAGCTTTGTAGATGGAGGATGGTGATGACCCTAAGCGCGACCTCCCGTCCTAGCCAAAGCTGGAACCCTCAAATTCATAGGGCCCCTAAACCCTAAACCCTAAACCCTAAACCCCATCGTCCTTCGGAGGCTGGGCCGGCCCTGCTGCGGGCGGAGAGCCCTGTCAAGGTGACGAGGCGCTTGTTGAATACATTAGGGTTTAGGGTTTAGGGGTTTAGGGTTTAGGGTTTACGGTTAAAGGTTTTGCCCTAAGCCCTATCTTGGTAGCCCCAGTCATAGACTTTTACCCCCCTTTTTTTGGGTTCTAGGTTCCCGCCTCGTCAAGTACACCCTAAACCCTACCCAGCCCTCAAAGCCTATGTGGTCACAGGCAAGAGGTGC